TATAAAGCTGACATGGGGTCTGAAACTGCTAATGCAGGTTCTGCATCCTATATTTGACGTGTGTATACGTTTTGGAGGAATAAATATTAATGCATCACATTTTATGCACACTAATGTGAGATGTGTGTGTTTTTCCCCACGTTTTGGCAATGGCTCATATGTGCGTTTTTCAAGGTTAGGGTTAGAGATCTAGGGTTAGGGTTAGATTCTAGAGATTTAGGGACAAACGTGAAACATGTCCGAGTCCCTGAGGCTATGAAAAACGCTCATACATTAGAATTAAACGCAGGAATCTTAACCCTAGAAGCGCTCAGCGTTTCACCGGAAGTAACCCGCCAAAAATGCCCTGCTGCCAAGGCCGATTGGTTGTAAACATGGGGGTTTGGCGGGGGGGGGTCAGCTGAGATACCCGAGATGTATACCTGCTACTGAAAAATGACCATATTTACGGCTCAAAAGATGATAAAAGAATAAAACCATATCTTTTCTTAAAGCTGATAGAATGAGCCATTAAAAAATTAAAAGCGATCAGATAAATCCAAACAAAGCGCAAAACCCGATAAACTCAATAATTAGTACATCAGCACGGCGAAACAAGTGATCACACACTTAGCATGTAGTGACTCAGCTGGGCCGCGTCTCTTTATCGATCGTTATCTCGGCCAAGAGACGCTCTACGAGATCAAGATAACTTGCAAAGTCATTGGTCACTATTTATAACTTTGATCTGTGATTTACGGTGTCATTTTCCATCATAAGGAATACTGAAATTTTCCATTGAAAAGGGTCAGCGTCTATGCCCTTTATATAGGGCCTGCGCGCTTCCCGGTCGAAGTAGGTCAGCCCTATAGAGCTTGCACGCTTCCCGGGTAGCCCAGCTCATGCCCTTTATATATAGGGCCTGCACGCTTCCAGGGTTAATAATCACCTTTTATGGACCATGGAACCTTCAAGTTCAAGTTCTTCTGGATTCTGACCAGAAACCTGAGAGAGTGGGGAACAATTCCTTCGCTTTTTGCCCCAATAACTCCAAGTACTGTACTTTAGGCTACCCCTAACCTTACCTTAACCTTTCCCTACCCCTAACATTACCTTAACCTTTCCCTACCCCTAACCTTACCTTAACCTTTCCCTACCCCTAACCTTACCTTAACCTTTCCCTACCCCTAACCTTACCTTCCTTACCCTACCCCTACCCTGCTAACACAGTGGTGTCTGCCTAACTGACAGTAACATCAATCATAATTAATGTAACATGAACATGTTAATGTATTTTTAGATTTCTCACTGTTTCACAACATTATATTTTTACTGGATGAGGCCTTAGTTATAGTCACTTACTATACACATGGATGAATTCTCACAATGCGTTCATAATCATGATGGTAAACAACCAACAACAACCCACATGCTGAAGTGAAACATGTCTTTCTGAGTGCCCAACATTGTAGGGTTTAATTTTATATTTCTATTCAAGTTTATCTAAAATGTAACCCCTTTACCTGGGCAGCCAATGGCCACTGTGAGACAGGCATCATAATATTGTTGATCATTGCCTAACATAACATGACTTCATGACATGAGGTCAGCAGCAATGTGAATTGCTATCTCTGTAGAGTAGCTAACTAGCATAGTAGCCACCTAGGGCAATCTACTTCCTTTCTATATATATATACCACTCAAGAAAAGCTGTATCATGGCATACTACTTTAAGAAGATTGTCTGTCATGATGCTGAAGTGCGTCACTTAAAGGTGTAACGGTGTGGGCAGCGGCAGTTTGCTCAATTCATGGGACACTCACATATTATATCGTAGATAAAAATGCTGTATTGTATAGTAGATAAAAGTTCTGTATTGATTCCCTCCCCCTCTGGTTTAGCAGGCAGTTTCTTTGTCAGGCAATAAGCCCGGCTGCTTCTTTGCACTGATTGAGTCATTTATACATTTAGATTGGGGTTGGGTTGGCTGTAAACTTTTGCGACAAATGTGACCACTATGATGAGTAGAAATTTTAGGCCGATTTGTTCCAATAATGACTGACCGTGGTCACGTGGGACAGGGACAGCTGTGGACAGGTGAAAGATCATGGAGTAGGTAAAAACTCAAGGATTTCATGGAACAGTGGTCACTGGTACAGGTGACCTCTGTGAAGAATTGACCACTAAGGCAGCTGTATATTTGTTATGTTTTGTTGTGGTAATGAGTGCTAATTAGTTGTTTCGTAATCGTTTCTATTGGTTCACCATTCCTCTCATTGCTTTTAATGTTTGAGGCTGAGCACAGAAAGTGAAAAAGACTGAAATTGGAAGTCTTATATTTCCCTTGATGATTATATGATACTGGTTTATAATTATACTGTCACTTTTTATCAGTGCTTTTATTTTTTTTTTCAAATTTCTTTCAGATATTCAGTGAAGACCCAATAAAAAGGTAGAAAAAGTGACGACAGATGCACAGGAACAATTTCGAGAGTCCTACAACGCTTCATAAGAAGACCTGTTCTCGAACTCATTCTCCGCTCTTGCACACTGGCTGCCATCAGCTTCCGGGAGCCTTTTGTGATCACCGTTCATCGCTTTTATAATTGTAGATTTAATATTAATTGTCTTTTATCGTTGTCTCCAAATAGAGGCTAGCCAGGTTGGCTTTTTAGCTACGTAAAAGGTCATCAGATTATGAGCGCGGTTGTTATGGACACACAAATGTTGGAGGAAAAAGTAAACGAGGCCAGGAGCAAGTTTGAACGAGCTTGCCAGCAGATCGTTCTCCTTGACCAAAAGATCAAGGATCTGGAAGTCCGCTACCGTCGCGCCGTGAAAAACAAGAAGAACTCTTTCCGCTACAATTTGAGGCTGAGGCTGTCGGTGGTGACGGGGGTGAAGATGATGTACCACCACTACGCCAGCACGAAGGCCGAGGAGCTTACGAGGCTGAGGAGGATGGTGCCACCTGTGGAGCAGGCAGAAGCCGATTGACCTCGGTGGATGTTAGTCTCTGTTGTGTGTTTGAGCGCAAGTGTGGTTGGTTAGTGTGTGTGTGTGCGTGTGGTTGGTTAGTATGTATGTGTGTGGTTGGTTAGTGTGTGTGTATGTATGGTTTGTTAGTATATGTGTGTGTGTGCGTGTGGTTGGTTAGTATGTGTGTGTGGTTGTTTAGTGTGTATGTGTGTGTGTGCAGTTGGTTAGTGTGTGTGTGTGTGGTGGGGGCGAGGGAGAGTAAATGTGAGAAGAAAGAAATTATAAAAATAAGTGTACATATATGTATCATGTATATATTATAATAATATATATGTTACAGTCTGACTGTGAAATCAGTCATTTGATGAAATGACTGAAATTAATGGCCTGCTATTTCGTGAAATAAATGAAGTGTGGGTCGGGGGTGGTATTAAAAACCTTTTAAAATTAAAGTTAGAAACCTTGTATTAACAATAAAGATAGGCCTACTTTTCTCTGTGGTTGGGAATTAAACACCTTACAATTAAAAATGTTATATTACATTTGGTCGCTTTTAAGGACAGGTGGACTAACCCAGATTTTGGGGGTTTCCAGAAATGTTGACCTACACCAAAAGTGAGCATTGCCCTACGTATAGGAGAAGTTTGGTTTCATTGGTATCATGTATATTTGTTTGGTTATAAAGAAAACTCTCCCTTGTCTTTTAAAGAAACTGAATAAGGGGCAAAAACTTTACCTTCGAAATTCTATGAACAGCATTTTTCGGGATAGCCCCCTTGTGCTTAAAAGTGACCATTTCAAACACAGCAAAAAGAGTCTTATTTGTTAGAACAGCTCAAGCTGTTGTGGCATTGACTGTTGCAAAGAAGTTGCGCCTCTAAAACACTTGCATCTTTTTGTTTGACATTTATTTAGCTGGACCATTACACGAGCATTTCACAAAACCCTGTCCTCCTTTGAATCACAGCATGTCTAAGAGAAATCAAATCTCAGTGTCCTGGTTGGTCGTTCGTTCTCCTGAAATGACTGAAAATTTTAGTCCTTTCCTAAAATGATTGCTTTCTTAATCTGACTGTAACTTATATAAATAATAAATAATGTTTAATGTTTTACATCGTTCTGAGTGTACTTCTACCACATATATGTCAAGACAAGACGTGACAAAGAGTTCAGTAAAAACAGGAGAGCTGTGAATTTTTAAAAGATAAATAAATGTTGTGTCCATAGCATACCTTGTACATTGTTTGTATATATAGCCTGATATTAATGTAAAAATGATTTGTCCTTTTAATGACAGAATTATTGTAAAATCATAGCCTACTTTTTGTCTTTTTTTTTTTTTTTTTTTTACCTTTTCCGAAGTTATATGGATTTTTATTACTTTATGGTGGTAGTATTTGTAAGGCGTCTTACCCGGTCATCATCCTGCCTTTTTATCATTTATCACTTGGAATTAATGTTACGGTCCATAAGTTGCGGTGGAGATTATATTGTTATCATAGTAAGGGTATTTATATGAGGAACACTCGCTATTTTATGTCTGTCAGGTATACCATCTGTTTAAGAGCTTATTTGAAATGAAAATGATCTTGCTTATTACAGGTGGGTGGTTGGCGGGTGCTCTGGTGTGGTTTGCTCCTTCTTTCCCATCAAACATCTATCTTCCTTATCTCCCCTTCTTCTTTTTTATGTTTGTTACTCTCTTGAAACACCTCTAATCTCCTGGCGCTCATATGACCTTATGCAGTTGCGAGCGCCGTAAAACCTCTTCTGAAACTAAACTAAAGCTTATTACAGCACACTTGTCACTGATAACTATAGCGCCCACTCTTGTGTGAACATAGATGCATGTACAAACAACATTCACACAGGCACGCAGGCACACACACACACACACACACACACAGGCACGCACGCACACTCACATACACACACACATTACATGCACACACAGTTGTGAATAGTTTGAGAAAAGGTCTGGGCAGGGTGTGCCATAATCCTCTCAAGAATGTGTTTTGTCAAGTTAGTCCAGACATTCTACAAAGTCATGTTGAAGAAAGGTGAGGTATATAGATTCTATATCTTTGTTCTATTTTTTATTCAAAGTTACATTAAAAAATGATTTATGATTTATAATTGATGTGAGGCATCATGACGAAATCAGGCGCTTGTCAAAATAATGAAATCAAAGAAATACACATTTTTTTGGGCGACAGGCAATTTTTTTCTAATTAAAAAAAAAAATTTACTCAACACCTTTTATGTGCATTTAAAAATATATTTTTGTGTGGATTTCACCGAAAAACATTGATAAAATTTTCAGTTTCCAAGGACTTTCAGGCAATGGAAGTTACCAAAGTTTGACGGCCATTTTCTGGCTAATTTTTACCTCTGAAACCAGGTGTCCCTGACCTCCTTCCATCACAAATATTTCGACTTCTGTTCAACATAGACGGATATTTTTTTCACCAAAAGGAAGGCAAATGAAGAGGCTTTATTTAAGATAATACCAATATAAACATATATGCCCAAAAATTGCCGCGGCCTGATTCCACCACGTTGTGACACATGTTGTGTTTACTTCTGTTCTGGTGCCTTTTTTATGGACTTTTTGTATTTTTTTATTGTCATTTTCTTTCAGTTTTGCTGTAGCTTATTTTTGTTGTAAGCGTAATGTTTTTAGGAGTTGTCTTAATGTACATTTTGTGCCAATACAATTCTGATGTGCATTTCGCGTGGATGTATGTAATGTTTTTAATTCACCGAGTTGTGTTTCCTGTAACTGTTATAGAAGGGCTTGCATCCATGAATGGAGATGTCTTTTTAATTCGTCTTGCATTTCTAGTTGATGGAATATTGGATTTAGGTCTCTGGATTGCATTTCTTGTAAGTTGTATAATGTAGGCCCAATGTATAGTTCTTTTTAATGTGCCAGCATCCATGATTTTTGTAAGTTATATGTGTGTACTTTTTAGCAGCTCATCCACTAGGTTTTTAGGCTGTTTTTTTTTGGGGGGGGGGGGTTTAACTCACTTTAAAATTTTAACTGTTAACTGGTCTGTATTCCTAGGCGCAACCTTTAAGTACTGTTGTCTTAAGATTGTCACAAAGACGTGTTGAAGTTTTTTGTGCTTCATTCAGGGTACAAGTGTGTTTTTAACGTAGATTTTTAAAAATTGTGCCTGATCCTTGTAAAAACAAACAATTCAGCATGGCTTCCGCTACCTTTGGTGGGGTGTGGAGGTAGATTATATGCTTAAGATTATTAAGTTGGTGGGGGAATCAAGTTTTTTTGCCGGAATCGTCTCTGCCCAGCCTGATCTTAATTTAAGATAAGGGAGATAAGGCAGGGTCTCCCTCGGTAGGTAAGTGGACTGTTTAGACTGAGTGGGTTAACGGACCGTCTTCAGATCATGCACGACAACTTGTGTAGAGTTGTTTGTACATTTTTTAAGCTTTCATCTCCATTTTAGTTGTGGTCTTTCTAATATGGGTGATTTTAAATTTCAGTTGTGGTCTTTTTTATGAACTACTGCGGTACACGGTAATGTATTGCGTTTTTTTGAAAGGTGGAAATTGGAAAGCAGTTTTTAAAATTTGAACTTCTGTGCTGCTCCTTAAAGACCTTAATTTCATTTATTTGTAGTGTTTTAGATCTTTCACAGTCACCTCTAAAGGGTCTGTGAGGCTTGCCAGCTGTCTCAAAAATCCTGAGACTTCCGGATTTGGCAGTTGGGAATTTGAGAGGACATTACAGTTACTAACATACACTATAACTTATTTTAAAAAAACCTAACCCACTTCATGAAAGTTTGTTTGTTGGTACCTAATCTGACGGTACATAACATTTGGCGTCCCTGAATGAGAAATGAAAAAGTTGGCGAGTTGTCCAAGTTTATCATCTCCTGGGCGTGGGAGACGGCCAATTTCCTTTGACAACTAGACCTACCAAGAAGATTTATTTTTAGAAAATCTGGATCTTGTAGATTTTTAGTCAGTGGAACACAATGTACTGTTTTTGTGTGGCTATTGTATATGTTGTAAAGCTCACAGAGCCTATTTTGGGCATCCTATTTCCTTTCATTGGGGGTGAGTGTGGGTTTTTTTTTTACATAATGACACTGTCCAAAACATCTAGCTGTCTAAGACAGCTGACCACAGTTCTCTTCGACAATGGCTGGCTCTCTGCGATTGACAAGTCCCAACAGTTTTTTCGTGGGTGGTTGGCGGGTGCTCTGGTGTGGTTTGCTCCTTCTTTCCTATCAAACATCTATCATCCTTATCTCACTTTTTTCTTTTTTATGTTTGTTACTCCCTTGTAACACGGTGTAACACCTCTAATCTTCTGGCACTCATATGACCTTATGCAGTTGCGAGCGTTGTAAAACCTCTACGATTGACGTCCAACAACAGTTTTTCACGGTGCTGTATAAACACCTTTGCTAACCCACCGTGTCCTCACATGTGGGTGGTTGGCGGGTGCTCTGGTATGGTTTGCTCCTTCTCTCCTATCAAACTTCAATGTTCGTATAAATCTCTCCTCCTTTTCTTTGTAAGGTTACTCTCTGAGGACGTCTTTGATCTTCAACACTACTTATGACCTATTTGTACTGCAGTTGTCACGGAAATAAAACTGTTACTACTGAAACTTTAAAAAAGTAGAAGGAATGTTTTGTTGGCAGGTCTAGTATTTTGTAAATTTGCTGGTACCTCGACATGTGAATATTGTGAGCTGCTTTATTTTTATCGAGAGCAGTTTGCAGGCCAAAAGCATGTTGTTGTTTTTTTTAATATAAGAGCCATGTAGGAAGTTAATGGTTGTTTTCTTTTTAATTTAAAAATTATTTTTTTAATGGGTTTAATGCACTTTTATTTGAGATTTACTTCTAGACACAGGTAGGCCTTTGTTGAGCAGCTAATATAGAAAAGATATATAGTGGAGCCTCATAGAAATCTGCGGGACTGCTAGACTTGTTTGTATTTAGGTGGGTTTTCAGTGTAGAGAGGTTGCTAAAAAAACCAAAGAGCCGAAAGGAAATCCGAGATTTCTCTTTCGTTTTACTTTTTCGTTTTACTTGTGTTTTTAGATCAATCGTGTTTGGAGTTAAAGTAAGCGGCTTCCACTGTATATTTTAGTAATTATATGTCTTCCTGAGAATAACAAACTTGTTATTTTCTGGTTAATACGTTCAGATGTCAACTCGATGTTTTTCATTTTGCAGCAGCACTTCTCGTTCACCCCATCAATTCATGAATGTTGTAAATGTGTTGTATTTGGTGAGCTTGTATGT